GTAGCAATATTTGATAATGTTTTTTACTAATTAAGATTCAATCTCTTCACGCTCCTCCACAGTTTAGTTGTACTTTAGTTACACGGGTGATAAGATCCTAATGAATATTTAATTGCAGGTAACAGAGCTGAGAGTTGGGCCGCTCTGGAGGAGCTGCATGTCCAGGGTAAGCTGAAGGCCATCGGAGTGTCCAACTACACACCAGCACACATGAGGGAACTGATACAGAGCTGCAAGATCCCTCCTGCTGTGCTGCAGGTAGGACACTGATAGAGGAGGAGGATGGATCACATGTATAATAGTTTTTTTAAAAGAGACAATTCACACATTTTCTTTTTTTTGTTGTTTCTTCAGGTAGAGTTTCACCCAAGGCTTTGCCAGACAGAGCTGAGGAAAGTGTGTGAGGAGTATGAAGTGTGTTTCCAAGCGTACTCCTCCTTAGGGAAAGGAGAGCTGGTCACTGACTCTGTGGTGCTGGAGGTGTCAAAGAACTGTGAACGCACACCTGCACAGGTAAACAAACACAAAGAGCCTCTTGATTAACAGTATTTTTGTACAAACACTGACGTCTGTTGTTCCGCTGCAGGTCCTGTTGCGCTGGGCTGTGCAACAGGGTGTCCCAGTGCTGCCAAAGTCCTCAAATCCAGACAGAATAAAGGACAATGCCAGGCTTTTTGACTTCACACTGAGTGACACAGACATGGACAGACTTTCAGCTTTGGACTGTGAACACAAATATTGCTGGGATCCATCAGAAGTGGTTTGAAAGACCACATATTCACAATGCCTCTTTAATGTTGCTGTTCTTTAGCTCTGACTGCAAAGACGAAGTGGTGGTAAAGGTGAGAGGTTGGATATGGACAACTCAGTTACATAATAATAAATGCACTGGACTGATGTGTTCAGAAATTTGGCAAATGCTTCTGAGAGTTCAGGAAACCTTTTAGAAAACATTTACTTATAAGTGGTCCTTTTAATTGACACCCATATGCCATGAAATATGCAAAGCCTTTTAGGCCTAAATGTGCTGAATGTAGAGCAAAACCGTGTCATAATTTTAAGACTATTTCTATATTCTTTGGTGCCTCACACTTGAATTCATATGCAAAGTCAGAATAAAATAATAAAAAAACAGAAACATTGTGTTTATTAAATGTCTTCAATTTGAAATATAAATGTGTACAGTATATTATTATTCAATCTAATTTACAAGATACTAACTTGATTGTGTTCTTTAGATACTAACTTGATTGTGTTCTTTAAAAAAAAGAAGGTGTTCTATCTCTTTATTCCCGCCTTCCGGTTTCTAATACGGCTCTGCTTCTTCTTGTCTTCAACCAATCAGCAGCGTCCTAAATGTCACATGGTTGTCAGCTCCCACGTGTAGCAGGAAGAAGTACTTGTAAACACTCCTCTGTAAAACGGCTAAAATTAGAAATAAGGCGAGATTTCCTTGCATGGTCACTGACAAATTCTGCTGCTCTTCTTCGAAAGTATTCAGCTGAAAGTGCTGAAAAGGTGAGATGAAAATATTGTCTGTAAATACACTGCCAATATTAACATAATTGCGGTTATATTCGTAATGCTGTGACGTTTAAAACAGCAAAAGTAACATGTAACTGTCCTTCAGTTATAATGGCAGACGGAAACTTAAAGATTGCTGTAAGCTAGCAACTCTTAAAATACAATAATAATTCCCTAACGCTTTTTTATTTGTCACATTTGGTGTGAAAGTGTAGCTCTGTTAAGGTGCAGAGAGAGCACAGCCCTGCTTTACAGGGAGACAGTTTTTCCTGTGACCCCTCTATATGGCATGGCTCTGCTAATTTAGTCTGTACTTTGTCATGTTCTGTTTCATTGTAGATCATTAACCACGTTTACATGATCTGTTATGAGAAACTGTACTACCAGATAGCATTGTATTTTGCATATACAGTCACTTACTGTCACAGCCACATTGCACTCCTAGTTGCACTGTTACATCCTTATGTCCTGATATTGCATGAACACTGTATATTTTGTATAGGGACAGGTATGTAGCATAAAGCAATGCCACACAACAGCATGTGTTATCATGCATATGTGTAAAGCCTGTCCCTATATTGGCCTATTCAAATGCATAAAACTCAACAACACATTCACAAATGATGGTACAGAATACACACTTAACAATAGATGGATAGATTAAATACACAAAACTCAAAACAAAAAAAATACAGACAGAACAATATAGGACCATAAAACAAGAAGCAACACATAATTCATCCCTACATGCCTTGTCCCTCTTTAAAACATTCCACATTAAAACCCTCGGACCTTCCTCTGTAATGAATGAAACTGTTGCTAAAGGTCGATGTATAAAATCAAACTACTGTCTCAACAAGAAAAATGTCTGTCTCTTTCTTTAACAGTTTTGGGTAAACCAACAGGATACAGAAAAGCAGAACTGCCTTCAGATCAAATGTTTTCCTCTTCACATTCTGTCCTCCTAAAAACCGGGGTTCAGATGCCCCTCCTGGGTTTGGGGACCTACAAGTTGGTGTCTCCTGAAGATGTCTCCCGGGCTGTGGATGCAGCGCTGCTTGCTGGTTATCGGGCTTTTGACAGTGCAGCCGTATACCTGAATGAAGCTGAACTGGGCCGAGCGCTTAAGCAGCTCCTGCCCAAACATGGCTTAACCAGAGAGGATGTGTTCATAACCAGGTGATGTTTAGGCACATGTCCTTTCCAAAAGAGCACATCATGTCAGTAAACAAGGGATCTATGAAGTACAATCGTAGCCAAATGTATTGCATATTTTTTTTTAAACTTGTGTCTTGAATACAGCTGGAATATAATCAAATTGACGCTAGGTAAAATGACAAATATACGCCTACATTCTACGGTTTCCTCATAACCTTATTTTCTCTAAGAAACCATATTGAGGCACTGATGACTCTCAAAGGCACAACGTACAATACTCAACTTCTCTCTTTCTCCCTGCAGTAAGCTGGGCTCCAAGGATCAGGGTAAGCGAGCCATGGAAGGAGCCCTCCACAGCCTGTCTGATCTGGACATGGGTTACATTGACCTCTACCTGATCCACTGGCCTGGAACACAGGATCTAGAGATAACTGATCCACGCAACTCTGGTAAAGAATTCATATTCATGCTGCTTAAGACGGCAGATGGCAAAACAGATTTATTTTCAGTGGACGAAAGCAGGACCGTCGCAATAAATGTGTTCAGCAAAAAAGACTGTAAAGGTCCGCGCCAAATCATTTAAAGTCAATTTTTTCAAAGGGTACGTTTTTGACAGTATTTAATGGGATGTTAAGGTACACCCTCATAAAAGTAGACAACATTAGTTTATGGGCAAGAAGAAGCTAATCATTTAGACAATTTCAACAAATATACCTCTACCTAACTATCCATTTTAAGATTAAATTACCTTACATGAGAGGAATTTACCTTTAGCTTTTACATTTGAGAGAGAAATGCATTGTATAGCTAGATGCATTACTAAAATAATTACATAATACTATAATAAGAGACACTGAATAACTTTTTCCATGTGTAGCAATATTTGATAATGTTTTTTACTAATTAAGATTCAATCTCTTCACGCTCCTCCACAGTTTAGTTGTACTTTAGTTACACGGGTGATAAGAT